GCCCTGGCCGGTTTGGCTCAGTGGTTAGAGCATCGGCCTGCGGTACAGAGAGACCCGGGTTCGGTTCCCACTAAGGGCATGTACCTCGGTTGCAATTTGTCCCCTGCCCTGGTTGGTCATGTGGGTGGCAGCCACTCGATGTGTCCCTTCACATCGATGTTTTTCTCTCTCTCTCTACCTCTCTCTCCCTCCCGCTCTGTCTGATCAAAAAATGGAAAAATGTCCTCAGGTGAGGATTAAAACAAAACAAAACAAAACAAAACAAAAAAAACAAAAAGCAGCAGCCCTGGCCGGTTTTGCTCAGTGGTTAGAGCATCGGCCCGTGGTCCAGAGAGACCTGGGTTTGGTTCCCGCTAAGCGTGCGTACCTCGGTTGCAGTTTGTCCCCGACCCTGGTTGGGTCATGCTGGTGGCAACCACTCAATGTGTCCCTTTCACATCGATGTCTCTCTCTCTTTCTCTCTCTCTCCCTCCCTCCCACTCCATCTGAACAAAAAATGGAAAAATGTCCTCAGGTGAGGAGAAAAAAAAATCAATGGAAAAATATCCTGGGGTGAGGATTAAAGAACACCACATTACCAATAACTGGCATTGACGTGTGATTCTCCCCATCTCATGCCCCTCCCACCTTCCCAGAGGTAACCACTATTCTGCATTTGTGTTTTTCTCTTGATTTTTTTTTATAGTTTCGTCACCTAAATTGTAATACTAGTAAATTATTTTAGTTTGTTTTAAAACTCTATATAAATGATATTATACTGTATGTAGTCTTCTGATACTTGGCTATTTATTCAATATTGTTTTCGGAAAATTCATCCATGTTTTTCAGTGCAGTTCTGGTTCATTCTTTTTAACTGCAATTACTATTCATCTTTATTAATATACCACAGTATATCGTCCCTCCTACAATTAGAGAGCAGCCTTTTCCAGGTGTGATAGCCAGTAGCATATCAAGGAAGTGATGGTGAGACTTTTGTGGCTTTCCCATTGCTTTCCTGTTTCTGTCTGTCTGGAAAAAGCCAGAACCCATGCCATGGTAATATTCATGCAGACATGTGAAGAAACCCATGTTGCAGGTGTGAGGCTTCTAGCAACAACATTACTGATTAATTCATTTGTGTGAAGGAACCATCTGTAGCCTCAGTCAAGCCATCAGATGATTGTAGACCTTGCCAGTATCTCTTGACTAGAACCTCATGAACCTGAACCAGAACCTCCCCACTAAGCTGCTCCCAAATTTCTTATTCACAGAAACTGAGAGATTATAAATGTTTGTTTGAGCCAAATATATTTTGAGGTAACTTGTTATGCAGCTGTAAATAATAAACTGGCGTTTTGAAGATGTGAAAGTTTTGTGAACTTTTTCATACCTGTCTCCAGATGTACATTTTTCAGGACCAGGTAGTGTACCAAAATGAGAGATTGTTGGGTTGAAGATTATGAGAATGTTTAACTTGGAGTTCCATGCCAGTTTTTCCAAAGTGGTTGTACTAATTTATATTTTGATGAGCAGTGTGAATTAGAATTTCTATTACACTTTATTCTTCTTAACTTTTGGTATTGTCAGGCTGTTTAATTTTTTCTAGTCTGGTGAGTGTAAAATAATATCTCATTATGGTTGTATTCCCTGCCCTAACACTGAAATAGCAGTGTCTTATATTATCTCCTAAAAAGTGTGAAGTTTTGATTTTTACATGTATGCCCTTAATCCATCCCACTGCTGCACCATGTAATGTCAGCATATGGAGCGAGGTAGGAATTTAAGTTTTTAACTATGCACTTAAGCCTAGTCCCAGTCAAGGGACTAGGCTTATTACAAAGTCCATCCTTCCCCCAGTGATATATCAGTGTCATATGAATCTGTTATGTTGATGTACTTGAAGTTTCATACTATTCTATTGGTCAGTTTGTTTATTCTAATACTAATGACATCGTGTCTTAATTACTGTCATACCTAGTAAGGCAAGTCTTCCTATCATATTATTTTTCTTTAGGAGTGTCTTAGCTATTCTTGGCCATTCTTTTTCCACAGGCTTTCTTAAATAGCCTTTTCAAGTTCTGTGAAAAAAACTGTTGGGTTTGAGTGGAGTTGTATTGATTCTATTTATCAGTAGAGGAAAATTGATATCTTTACAGTATTAAATATTTCTATCCATGAATATGATATATCTATGTATTTCATGATCTTTAATGTCTTTCAGTAACATTTTATCATAGTCTGCTTATAGGTTTAACTTATTTTTTGTTAGATTTATTCTTACTGTGTAGATTTTATTTTTTGTTTTTATAAACTGTCTTTTTCAAATGTTTTATAACTGTTGCTGGTATTCATGAATACACTTAATTTTTTAATATAAATTGCTTTAGCCATTTTGCTAGATTCTCTTTTTATTCCTAATGGTAGTAGTGAGAGATTTTTTTTTTTTCTATTACTCTAGACAATCTTGTTTGTTCATTTTTCTTGTTTCATTGTTGATACTGTTTTGGATAGGCATATCATCTGCAAATAATAACATTGTTTTCCTATTTTCAATTTTTATACATTTTTATTTCTTTTTCCATATCTCTTACTGGCTTTAACCTCCAGAAAAACTTTGACTAGCAGTGGAAATAGTAAAGTTATAATGATGGGCATTCTTTTCTGGTACTTGATTTTAAATAGATTATTTTTAATTTTTTTTTCTTTATTGATTTTAGAGAGGGAGGAAGGGAGAGGGGGAGAGAGAGAGAGAAACATCGATGAGAGAGAACATTGATTGGCTGCCTCCTGCATGACCCCCACTAGGGTTTGGCCCACAACCTGGGCATGTGCCCTGACCAGGAATCTAACTGGCAGGTGCATGGGTCGATGCTCAACCACTGAGCCATGCTGGCCAGGCTAATTAAAATATTTTAAATAATATTACCAAGAAGAGTAATTTTACTGTATTTTTTGTTTGTTTGTTTGTATTTTTGAACTCTTTTTTCATGTTAAGGATATTTTTCTTTTTATTCTTGGTTTGCTGTGACCTCTCTTTCAAAAATTAGTATAGAATTTTATCAAATAGTTTTTTGCAGATATTGAAGTTATGGTTTTCTTCCTTTATGTTAATTTAATTTGTAGACATTCTAATATTTTGTAATGTACTTTCTGAGTTTAGTTATTCTTAACAGGTGGGTCTCTTGGGGGACTTGGATGTTCAAAGTGAAATCTAGTTGTAAAATTATTGACTCTTATGGCCATAGGAAGGGATTCTACCATCTGTGCTATGAGAGTTATTTGGCAAAGTGTGTTTAAGCATAGATCTAATAACATAAATAATTTAATATTTCACAAAGTGTCCTTGTTGTGCTGACAACTGCAGCCACAGAGTTAATTTCCTGTAACAAATAGTTTGGCTAAGTGATAATTGTCTTCTGTGGAGGGAAAATACTTTGTGGGAGCCAGGAGGGTTCAAAACTCTTTGCTTTGGAAATAAGAGAATTTTGCTTTTTCAAATCCTTTGTTAGTTTAGGCAAAGTATGAATTGTGTGTATTGTTTTCTGAATAAAGTAAATAACCACTGTAACTAATATGGTAACGTGAACAGTTTGCTTAAAGTTTCAAATTCCTAATTCTGTCTTTTTAAGATCAGATAATTGTACTATCACAGCTATATAGAGCCTCCTCGACTCTTTTCTCAGTTCATCTCTTTTTAGTCCCAGGATGTGGGTATTGTTGAAATATGGTACAAACATGAAATTCTAGACAGCACTATCTCTTCATAAAGAATTAGGAAATTCTAGAGGCCAAAATAGAAACTCATTCTTAGGGCACTTAAATAACATTCTCAGTTGTTAAACATACTAGGTAAAGTCAGGCTCCACAGACATTTCCCCCTTAAGCAGTAAGGAGTGCACTGTCGGTATACATCCGATATGAGTGGAACTTGAATATCTAATTTGCAATATACTTGTGGTCTCCACAGAGTTTAATTTTGCCATGAAACTTTATTGCTGGTGTTATTAGTATAGTTTACTGGGCTTAAGAATAAGTTGCTTGATTATATGCTCAAGTTTTTCTTCTTTTTTTCCCCTCTATAGTAAATGGTATGTTTCTCTCTTTGAAGTAAGTTAGTAAAATCTGTGGGATCATTTGAAATAATAATCAAAATAATAATGAAGCAGTTATTACAAATTTTAACCCTTATTAAAAGTTGGGTAAAAGTGGGGTGCTATTAGGTGGTATGTGACCAAGGAATTAACTAAATCATGGCCAAAATGAATTAGTGCTTCTGACCAGATTTTCACTGGAAGATGAATGTAAGGGATAATGACAGGCCAGGGAGGCAAATTATCCTTGACATAGAACCCCCACCCCCAACCCCCATGGTGCAAAGAAACAGAACAAGTTAGAGTTGAGCTCTTTGATTTACAAAAACTTAATATATAATGTTCACTTGTTGCCTAGGAAATGTGTTTGCCCCTGTTGTCTAGGTGGAGAAGTCTTAAGTGGTTGCCAGCCTGGCTCTGGAGAGAGGGTTGGTAGAGACATTTGAGGAAAGAAGTTCTTTAAGTGAGTTGCCTGAAGTCCTCTTATCACACCTATTTCATGGAAGGAAAGGAGAAGAGTGAGTAAGATGGTCAAGCCGCCTCCCTTTTGTGACTGTGCCTTGACCTTTAGCATTATCCCTAGAGAGAAGTGAGATGGTGAGAAAGAGGCATTTAATACACAGGGACACTACAATGCAAATGTATCTCTTTAGGATTACTGGAATCATCACTTCAAAAAGACATCATGCACTCATTAGCAGTCACTCCTCATTCCCCACCCCCCACCAATTCCCCAAAACATTAATCTACTTTCTGTTTCTGGACATTTCATATAAATGGAATTATACAATATGTGATCTTTTGTAACTGGCTTTATTTACTTAGCATATATTTTTAAGGTCATTCATGTTGCAGTATGTGTCACTACTTTATTTTTTTTAATTAATGAATAATATTCTATTATAGGATATACTATGTTTTGTTTATCCCATCATCATTTGATAAAAATTTAAGCTGTTTCTACTTTCTGGCAGCTATGAACATCTCTATGTAAGTTTTGGTGTTTTCATTTCTCTAGTGTATATACCTAGAGGTAGAATTGCTGGATCATATGATAAATCTATGTTTAACATTTTGAGGAGCTGCCAAACTGTTTTCTAAACTGGCTACACCAGTTTACATTCCCACTAACAATGTATGAGGGTTCCAATTTTTCCACATTCTCACCAACACTTGTTACTGTCTTCCTTGTTTATAGTCATGCTGTAGTGTAAGAAATAGTATCTTATTGTCTTTGATTTGCATTTTCTTAGTGACCAATGATACTGAACATATCTCTTTGCAAATTTTTATGTCTTCTTTGGAGAAATATATATTCATATCTTTTGTTTATTTTTTAAACTAGGTTATTTATCTTTTTATTGTGAGTTGTCAGAGTTATTTTGGCTACATCTTGTCTCTTAAAATCAGAAGGTGTTTTTCTTTTAACTTTAAGAAAAAAAACATTTAGAAAAGTACATTGTCACAGCTTGGATTTTTCAGAAGCTGAGACACAATTTAGAGTGGATGATGGCTATTGGAAATGGACATTTGTGAAAAGAAGGAAGGAGGACAACAGGGTTGGTCAGACAGAGAGGTGAACTTATTGCAGGCTTGACAAAACCTCAGCCAACCTGCTGGCTGTGAGCTCTGGAGCCAATATTGCTTGTCACAGTTGTCTTGCATTCGGCTGAAATGGCTGGCCTTCATATTCCCACTTGGCTCCATGAGTGAGGGTCAGCTTGGAAAGGCATAACCTTGGATGAGGCAACTCTGCATCTGAGGTGGAGCCTGATACAGTGAAGAGCTGCAGGCTGTTTGCAGACTGCATTCCCTGCAGCTGTGGAGCAAGTTCTCCTTAAAGGGGCATCTGGAGAAAGCACCTTAGTGTCTACCACATGCATATGATGTTTTAAAATCTAGGTTAGACCTTGAGTTCACAAAACTTAGAAGAGTTGCTAATAAACATAATTATGAAATGAAGAAATTGGATACAGGCTTTGCGAATATGTTATTACTGCTATTTTATGGTATTGGATACTTTGAAATTTAAGGAGGTGGTTTCTACTTGTTTGATTTGGCCTGGAGTTATGTACATTTATAATATTGTTTTTTATTATTTATTTACCATAGAATTAGAGTATCTTAAGTAGCTTATATGATATTTATATTTGACCCATAAAATAGAGGCTACTATTTATTTGACATACTCTATTTTTCTAAAATGTTGAGCATATCTTCTTTTTAGAATTATTTTTTTCCTTGGCCTTACCTCTGTTATTTCTGTTCCATATTATGAAAACTCCATAAAAAAAAAAACAGTTAAATTATTTTTTCTTGGAGGGTGGGTTCCAAAATTGAGAATGGTGTTAAGAATTATCCTAACCCTTATTTAATTTCACTTTTAGTGTTGTCTTGCAGATATTCTAAAATCTTATTTATTTATTTTCTTTATTGATATTAGAGAGGGAGGAGAAAGGAGAGAGAGAGAGAGATAGAAACATTGATGAGAGAGAACATTGATTGGCTGCCTCCTGCATGCCCCCCAACTGGGGATTTGGCCCTCTACCTGGGCATGTACCTTGACTGAGAGTCGAACCGGCGACCTCTTGGTGCATGGGTTGATGCTCAACCACTGAACAACACCGGCCAGGCTATTCTAAAATCTTTATATTTGATATTCTTTAACTTCTGACTCTTTCTTTTAATTGCTTTGGTTACTGAAGTATTGTGAGGAATGATGGGTAGTACTTTTTATTAATCAGAATTCTCTGAATAGCAAACCATATAGACTAAGACAATTTTAGTTGATAGCATATAGTATTTATATATAATTAACTACCTCCAACTTGCTCAAACTCCAAATTATAATGCTTACTGATAATATAAATTAGTACATGAGACTGAAACACTTCTATGGAATTAGAAAAAACAAAAAAACTGAAATTGTTTTTGTAATTGAAGTTGAGTAGTTTGACTTTACCAACATGGTAGTGTAGAAGGAACTCAGAACAAAGTGTCAGTAGGCCAGAGTTAGAATCCCAACCACCCCTTATCATCTGTGTTGCCTTAACCAGGTTTCTTAGCTTCTCAAAGCCCTGGAGGCCGCATCTCTGTAAAATGCAGATATATCAACTATGCCTGTCCCTCCCAGTTGTGGAGATGACTTAATAAGATAATGGGTGTGAAAGGACTTGGTGACTTTGTGGCCAACATGTGCATTTAGGAAATAGTTGGAACAATGTTCTTCTTTGGACGCAACTTTAATATAAATGAAGGTGGAATTCACATACTCGAAACCATTTCCAGACATACATTTTAATAAGAGTGGAAAAGAATATAAATCAGATTTATCACAAATTAATTTACAATTCATTATGATTGTCTTCAATATTGTCTTGGAAACCTGTCAACTCAACAGGTATTTACTGTGGGACTTTATTATTTGTTTTAGAATTCATCCAGATGATGCCCATCTAGGAGTTTCTTGTTCCTGTAAGTTGGAGTGATTTGGATATCCTTTTTAGAGTTTGAGCACAAGTTCATTGGAACCCAGTTAGTTTTGCTTTATATGGATTACAAATATTTGTAAAGGAACTTATGGTTTGCAAAGTGTTTTTATGTACATTCTTTCATATAATCTTCATAATTGTCCTATAAAATCCTATAAAAGGGTATTTATTTGCTGTTATTTCCATTACTTAGGATAGAGAAGCTGTGACTTTCTCAAAGTCACTTACCTATTAGATGGTAGAATTGAGATTTTTTAAAAAACTTTTTTTTTTTTTAATCTTTACCCAAGGATATTTTTCTATTTATTTTCAGATAGGGGGATGGGGGAGAAACATCAACATGAGAGGGACACATAGACTGGTTACCTCCTGCGTGACCCTGACCAGGGCCGAGGGCAAACTGGAACTGATGTACTCCATGTCCTTGATTGGAATTGAACCCGCAACCCTTTGGTCCCTGGGTTGATGCTCAAACCACTGAGTCAAACCAGCAGGGCAAATTTTTTTTTTTTTTAAATTTCAAACCTACTATAATATCACATTGCTTGAGAAACTAAGGAATTATTTTAGATAGGCTTGGATTAGAACCAGGTATTCCTAGTCTGAGCCAAATCTCAACCCAAAACATTTTACCCTGGGCATTGTTTTCCAGGTCTTTTCTAGCCTGATACCCTCATTCTTCAGCCTTTTCCCCAGTGCCTATATGTCTGTGTGTACACAGAAACACACACACACACACACACTCCCCAAAACAGATAGTTTTTGCACGTAGCCTCAAAACTATAAGCTTTAATAATATATAAACAATAATACAGGGATTATTCTGAATTAATCTTTGCCGATCAGCTTTTGAGTATCATGGATATTTTAACCGTAATTTGAGTGGGTGTTTTGGCCCCACACAAATCTCTGGTACCAATTTATATTCTACTGTACTTTCAGTTGCAAGTAGGCTATTGTGAGGAGCCTGATTTAGTGAGCATAGATTCTTTGGGACCAAACAAGTTCCAGAAATTAGCCAGTTTTACTTGTCTTGTGATTTTTAGGGTGTCCCCCCACAAATGTATGTAACTTTGAATAATTTTAAAGACAATGTTTATTAAAATACAATTCATTTTCAAAATGTAATAGAGTCTACAGACACCCTGTGTACATTTTTTGGGGACACCTTGTATTTTGTACGTTCATCATTGCTTTTAGAATGTAATGTGGAAAGGCCTTCTGTTGCAAAAATCATCTATATCTAGTTCCCATTTATACTTGCCTAAAAACAAACAAACCTAAAACTAAGGCTGCTGTGTATCTGCCTCTACATTTTATAAGTGCTCAAGCCATATTTTGAACAACAGGGCAATAAGAAATATTCTACTGTTTCATGTTTTGAAATGCTGGCTAGATAAAGATTACACATGACAAGTTATTTACAGCTTTATTTATACATACTGGATTCTCTGTTGGAACCATAGAAGGGAAGAAGATATGATAATTGCTTTGTGTAGTTCACAGAATGAAATCTCAAACTGAGATGTTTTGAATCTAGTTTATACAGTAACCATTTCTAGGGAACCATATTTAAACAGCAGAAGTTATCATGAAGTATACAACATGTCAACTGTGTCCCAATTCATATCAGTAAAAACCTTCCACCATTTTATTCCCTATAACCTAACCTCCATCAGATAATACTAAATAAACTATGTCGAGTGCACATATTAATATATATCAAATGTATCAAACAGCTTGCTGGCTGCATTTTCAGTAGTATTTATCTATGGTCATGCAGGTTATAACTCTGAATTTTTATTAGGAAAACTAAATTGAGAATTTTTAATGTCCATATTTAGTTTCACCAGCTGTGCCACAGCCATGGAAAATAACTGAAGAGGGTAAAAATCTAACAGTGAATAAGAGAGTAACCGACAAATGGCTTTTGCTTCATATTTACCTGCTTTGCATCTGCTGCTATTAGGTTTAGGGTCTCAGATAGTAATTACTATTCTCCTAACTTATATATCATCACTCCAGTGAGTTGTGTATTTTTAGGTTTCTCTTTAGAATAAGAATATAGTTATTAATTGATATTTAATCTTGGGAATCTTGAAAATGATTCTTTAAAATGTGAATCTCCCCCCTCCCCCGTCTCTTTTACTCATTTGTAAATTTGACAAATATCCATTGAGCTCCAAATATGCCAGACATTGTGCTAAGAGCAGACATGATACCTGTCCTCATGAGATCAAAGTCTACAGGGAGAATGTGTTATTAAACATTGTAGAGTATTTAGAGCTTTTTAAAAGACTTATTGAGATATAATTGACATACAGCATTATGTAAGTTTAAGGTATACAATGTGCTGATTTGATGTGCTATATATTACAAATGATTACCACGATAACGTTAGAAAACATATCCCTCACCTTACTTAGATACCTTTGTGTGTGGTGAGAATTTCTAAGATCTACTCTCTTAGCAGCTTTCAAGTATACAGTACAGTATAGTTAACTCTAGTTATGCTGCTATACATAGGTTCCTAGAACTTTAAAATATAAATCTTGAAAATGACTCCAGCACCAAAAATATTTTATAATTTCACTTTTGTTTAAATAGTCAAAATGAAATAATTGTATAAATTGTGCTGTTTAGAAATCAGGCATGTTGAGGCTAATGAAAAATAACTGAACAGTTTATATTTAGAAGAAATACTGAATTGGCAGAGGGATAGAGTAAAAATGGGAAAAGTCCCTGGTGGATAGTTAATTTAGTTGTGGAATGGCTAGCAAAGAGCACTGTGTGGAATCTCTCATTATGAACATTTCTCTTTAATTTATATATAATAAGGAGTTGCTCGTGAAACATGCTCAAACTTGTAGAACTTTTGACAGATAAGACTAATTCTTGGATGTTAATAGATAGCCCTTACACATACTGCTTTTTTTATAATAATGTTGAAGCTATCAGTCTATGCCTTATATATTTTATTTGTGGTTATTAGGCAGTTTGATTTGGCAGCTAGAGAGTAAGCTCCCATTTGGGTCACTTCCATGTGTATTTGACTCACCATTGCACCCTCCTGTCTTGCTCATTGCCCACCCTATAGACTACGATATGTTCCTTAAGGAAATATAGACACATTTTATTTATGTAGAATTGACAGAGTTTTAAGTTAACTGTTCACAGAAGGAAAATACTTCCATGTTAAGTTAAAATACTTTCCCAGTGAAAAATATTTTTATATTCTAGTTATTGTAATTAGGAGGCCTCACCCTACTGAGAAGCAATAACATTGCTAGTAATAAATGATCAGCTATACACACCTTCTGTAATTAATTTTCAACCATTATTATATGAGTAATATTTTATAAATGAGAAAACTGAAGATTTTGGATATTAAGTGACTTGTCCCTGATTCAGAATTATTATTAAGTGGTGAAGCTAGGATACATTTACAACAATTAAAAAACATAACCCACCAAATATTCAGATCATAATTATGCATCAGGCATTATACTAAATGTTTTACATTTAACCTAACTGTAACACTATGAGGGCAGCATGATTATCAGTTCAATTTTATACCTGTAAAAAATGAAGCACAGAGAAATTAAGTAATTTGTCAAGGACACACAGCTAGTTAATGATAGAACCAGAATACTCTTCCTCTTATACCCCTTCACCTACTTTTAGCATCAAGGTAAGGACATCATTGATTTAGGACTGTTTGGAGCTTTCATAATTTAAAATGTAATTTTTGAGGGGGAGAAAAAATGGTGGCAGAGTGACTGGAAGGTACACAGACGATCTCTCAGGACCAAACAGGAATTACAAATAAAATAAAGACAAATTGTCGGAAAAAAGCAACAGAAAAGCAGCGGTCAAGGACCATATAACCTGGGACACTGAGAGGCTCTGTGGAAGCGCCAGAAGGTGGCGGGCTGGGAGACCACAGACAGCGGCCTTAGCTGTGAGCAGTGCCCTTGAGGTTAAAAATCTCAGGCCGCTCCACAGAGCTGAGGGCTGGAACAGAGCACTAGGTTGGCTATAGCCACTCACTTTAGGCTCTGGCAGAGGGAGGCAGACTTGACTGGAACTATATGGGGACATATGGGATTTGGAGGGTGCTCAGAGTTTTTACTGAGTCACGGCCACAAAGGATGGTGGCCAGCTTGCTCCTTCCCAAAGCTGTGGGGAGAAAGAGCAGCCCCTCCCTCGGAGATACAGGCCCCTCTAGATGAGCCAAAGAAATGCAAATTGAGGCTCATGAACAACCAGCATCTGGCCCTGGCCGGTTTGGCTCAGCAGTTAGAACGTCCGCCTGCAGTCCAGAGATACACAGGTTCGGTTCCTGCTAAGGGCACCTACCTCTGTTGCAGTTGGTCCCCAGCCCTGGTTGGGTCGTGTGGGAGGGAGCCACTCAACGTGTTCCTTTTGTGTCAATGTTACTCTCTCTCTCTCTTCCTCTCTCTCTCTCCCACTCTATCTCAACAAAAAAATGGAAAAATGTCCTCAGTGAGGATTAAAAAAATAAATGAATAAAATAAAAAAATACAGGCATCTCCCTAGCCTTAAAAACAAACAAACAAAAAAACGAGCATCTGTCCCACCCTCTGGAAATCCTCTTATGCAGAACACCAGAGGGCTACATTCCAAGGCCCTGAGTAACTGAGACTAATAAAAAAAGCTAGAGGATAACTGAACCTTTCCTGGGCTTGCAAATCTACCCAGGAAAGTAAGACTTGATAATGGGGTTTAACAGGGGCCCTCGCATGCTCATCCAAACCCAGAAGAGGGAGCCACAAACAGCAGAACACCCAACACCCACAGGGAAAATTTGGCAGGCTCTAAAACCCACCGAGATAGCCAAAATGGTGAAACAAAGAAACAAATCCCAAATGAAAGAACAAGAGAACTCTATTGAAGATGAAACACATGAAATGCAGCTAAGCACATTATGAGAGCTAGAGTTCAGAGCCATGATCTTGAGGA